TTTCTCGAGCTGATTTCAAAAACCATTCATGCACGCACAGACAATCTCCAAGGAATACTGCCTCCGCCAGTTGCGATGTTCCTGATGAACATGTACACTGGCGACGAGGTGGAGATGCGGCGACACACAATCTCTGGTTGTTGACTGGAGACTTCGTTCTGGAGTCTCAGAAACATCGCCTGCACATGGTTTGTTGGCCCCACGCTAAGCGTTCCGCTTCTATTGCGATCTTGCCGCTTTGATTATGGAAGAGACTTCAAGGACATGGAGAAAGGTGCAAGAGCATATGCCTCTCATAAAAGCACAAGCAACCAGCCGCTCTCAGACCGGCCAGTTAAGGGGATCTTCACCTGCTTCTTGACCATTCGTGAGTGTGACGCAGCTAGGACGATGCTTAGGCTGACATTGAATTACTGCCAAGATGTCAGAGCGCAAAGTAGTCGAAGTCCTGATAGCGATAGAGCCGACAGCTCGGTCAGCTACGTTCCTTGAATTTGATTCAGTCACAGATGCAGTCCATGCAGCAAAACATGCCACAGCATGTACTGGTGACAGGCAGGGAGAGTGCGGTCGGGGGAAGAGGTCAGCCGCAATGCTGAGGATGATGTAATCTACTACAGAAAATCGCTCTGCAAGGGCGGAGTCCCGCTGAAAATGCTGTGGCAAGTCGTCTCCTTGGATGACGGCTTTGGAGTATACCGCAGACTTGTCTGGGAAGCGTATAATGAAGTACTAGTCCACCACCTTCACTGCAACGGCACGTATCTCGGCGCCGAAGTTCAGAACAAATACATTGGGCCCGCTCGCTGGCGGATCGACACGACCCCGCTGCTCAACTCCATGGTACAAGGCTCCAGTTCCCTCGATGGGCGAGCAGCCAGAGACGAGCACATACAACTTCGTTACTCCCGGGGCTCAATATATAAGAATGAGTAGCTTGATTCCCATCAGAAACAAGATCGCAGAGGTCGGAGCAGCAGCGCACCAGGATGGAAATCTGGAAGCCAGAAGTCTGTACGAGTGCGCAAGGTCGGGCATTGGCGAGCTGAGTGGGCAGGAGAAAAGTCTGATTTGCTGAGGTCGTGAATGGAGACATCGGCCAGTGGAGATCATACGTTGCGGAGGAGGGAGGCGAGAGCATTGCTTTTTCTGATACGCAAACAACCGCAAACGCATTCGTTAGAGGTACGAAAATCATCAGATCAAAGTTAGTCGTCAACACGGCGACCTTGGCGAAACGATACGACAAAGGGGATGGGAAAGTAAGCAGTAGGGGCTTTCTTGAAGGCGACAACTGTACCCTCGTAACAAATTGACAAATTAGACTGTCTGATCTTCCAATCAATGCTGTAATTGTCTCAATGGCCGCGTCCAATAATTTTGTGATTCGTAAATCTCAAAGAGTAAGATAACACCATCGTTTCATTTGCTGCTCTATTGACTGGCCTGTAAAAAGCGAAGAAGAGCTTTACGAACCACGCTGCATGCATGCGCACCGAACTACCAAACGTTGCACAGTGCGCCCAGACTAAGCGCGAATAAGATACCGGATTGTCTCTACTTTCGTGCTTCTCCTTTTGAGGCTGCGGGACGCTTCTCTTTGTTCTCAGACTTATGCACGTTACATGATGCTTCCTTTGTTGCATGCATCAACCTGGAGCGTGCTTGATGGTTGGTAGTTATAAGGTCAAGAGTCTGATACTAGCCTCCGGTCAGATGGTCTGATTGCTCAGCGGCGACTAGAGCCCCGATCTTGTGGAACAATGTGCTTGTAGAGCGGGACGTGGTTGTTTGGACAGCGTTTGAGGCATAGAATGCTATAGATGGAACATCCGCGCTACAAGATGCCCATGGACGATAGGCAAAAGTTCGAGTCTTGCAATCGGACATGATTGGAGGGAGGATTTCGTGGGGGAACTCGACTGATACTCCCGGTTCCGACTGGTATGCAGCGACTCAGGGTGAGACGTGAGACGGAGCGAGAGATCATACGGCTGAAAGGGTGTGGTTGAGGGGCTCAGCATGCCAGAAGGCATGTACAAGCGCAATGCTATCATCGTCGGAGCTGGCAATATTAAAAGTGTGCGCGCATGATGAGCATCTTGCAGCTTGACAGAGACGCTGACGCAGTTGATACAGAGCTTGTCCGCTCTTTGAGCGACGATGATGTCTTTTTGGGAGGCTCCGAGAAAGATATGTTGAGGACTTCAGGTAGCTCACTCGTCCCGAGTGCGCGAGCGACGGCGGATGCCTTCGCTGATTTGGATAGCGATTATGCCATGGTATCTCCAATTTGCGGAGAGGAGCTGGAGTGCGAAGAGAACAATTGGTGGCTTGTAAATTGACGACGTGAATGAGACGTAATGTTCAGGTCCACCGTCCGGGCAGTCCCGCCCGCCGAAATCTAATCTTCACGCTTGCATGTGACGCGACTTCCGAAGAATCTGAACTTCATTTTCGTTCAAAACATCGCACCGCCGCAGATCGACTTTGAATTCCAACCACAACCTTTGCCAACATGGCATCACCTGCAGCACACATCGTCCATCTCAGTGGCGAGCCGGGCCCGGACAACCGCCAGGTCGCCTACCGCTTTTTCATGATGTTACGCGACTTCTTCATCGAGCTGGATGTTACTGTTGACTGGTCGGATGAGGAAGTACCCCGGCGAATGAGAGTCCAAGCATCAATAGCCGGAGAGCTCGCGAGAGCGGCGCTAAGAGTTGGGAAAGCGTACACAGGAACCGCCCTGCGCTTCAAGGGCGTGAGACGCGATGACTGCTTAGGGGGTAATGGGTTGAAGAGGTTTCGAACACATGCAATTCACATTCGATATAAGCTTGGATACTGCCCAATCCACTGGGCAGTCTTCATCCGTGCACTTCTGCCAAGCGCGTGGTTGGTAAAAGTTTACGAGATCAAGATCAAGTCGCAGCTTGCACGCGAGCTCGTCAATCGATGTAAGTGAGCTTGCGGAAGTGAAGTACCAGCGATATCTGACTGATATACTAGATGAGCGTGATCTAAACCCCAAGTTCGGTGCTTTCGACGCTACGTTCGCTCCACTGCGCGTTCCATTCACGTTGGGACAGCTACTGCAGGAGCTGTTCGTCGGCGAGTTTGACACGTCCAACGCCAGACTTCTCCGCAGTCTCCTCGACACGAAGCAGAAAAAAAGGATAATGGCCAACGTCAAGTGTTGTGTTCGCGCGGAGAAAGAGAAGAACCAGCCCCTTTCCAAAGGCGACATCAACAGCGCAGAACCAGACAACCGGCGCAACAGCGCCATCTTCTTCACGCGCATGAACGACTTCCTCACCTGGCTATTTCTGAGCTGGTGGATGCGCGACTCCACTGATGCAGCTGAGAACGAGGAGGTCTACAACGCCGTCACCAACGAAAGCAAGTTTCTGATTGGGCTCCAAGCTACATTGCTCGAAGCGCCACGTTCGCGTGCAATAACACACATCAGATTCTATGGGTGGAAGTGCCAGTATCTGGGTGGCTCTATTGCTGCGTATCTCAAGCACGTCGGCGCAATGGATAGGCGCATTTCCAGGAGACTGCCAGATTGGAGCGGCGAATCCTGGATGCATGAGGTGTTTTTCGAGGAGACGGCCCTGGTTGACACGGGTTTGGTGGACAGCAACAAGCGCCAAATCGCTAGTATAGCTGAGCAAGACGGTGAGGATTTTCCAAGCCGATCCTCGCCAAATACCGACTGACAGGCCGTGCAGGACCGTCCGACGATCCAAATGAGCTCCTCTATATCCGAAAATGTTTCTCCGCCCGACCAATGCAAATGTGGATGCTTCTGGCCTTGCGACAACGCAACTTGTCTTCGCTCTGCTCAAGCCTAGCCATAGAGCACGCTGTACTCCGAAGAGTCCCCCACAAGTAGAAGCAGACAAAGCGCTAATACCAGAAGAAGAAGCAGCCGAAGAAGAGCAGGCGAGCGGCTCAGTCATTGTTTTATCGTGCCAAGGGCGGAAATGCACTGCGCGGCGGAGTCTACAAGGCTGACGTTGATCTCCTTGATTTGATTTGTAGCAGAGAGAGCAGACACTGCAACTGAAGCATGCGCTGCAAACAAGTAAGACAGACTGGATAGAGAGCGAGGCATTCCAGCAACGTACATTATGAGGGCACAGGTCTTTGAGCTTAGACAGCCTCCATGAAATCCCTATCTTCACCGCTTCCCGTTTGATATTTCATCAATTTCTCCTGTCCCTCATACAGTGGTTTCAGTGGCTCTTCCTTCTTCCTCAAGACCCACCTACTGAAGTGCCACTTCGCATTTCGTAGTTGATACCTCGAATGCTTCCAAGTCGGAACACTAAAGACCTGATCCAGTTCCTCCAATGTAAGGGCCTTAGTCTCCGGCATAAACAGTAATACCAGAACCCAGAGGATCATGCACCAAGCCGCGTACCATCCAAAAGCTCCCTCGGGCTGGAAGGTGCTGACGAGCGAAGGCCAGGTGAAGGACAGAATGAAGTTAAAGCACCAGGTCGTCGCTGTTCCCCAGCTCATACCGACGTCTCGTACATTCATCGGGAAGGCCTCGGCGGAGTATAAGAAAGGGACGGGACCCATTCCAGGCGAGTAGAAGCATTCGAACAAGTACATTCCGGTCGTTATCATGGCTGTGCGAGTGACAGTCTTGCTCTCGTCTATCAAGAACGATAGACCTGTCCAGAGCAGAGTGATGCAAAGAAAAGGATAGGTAACGAGCAGCAGGTTGCGGCGGCCGAGTGTGTCGATCGTAAAGAAGGCGGGTAGAGCGAATAGCCAATTCAGGATGCCTGTACCCATGGACACGAGCAGGGCATTGGAACGACCGTATCCTCCCTGTTCAAAGATAGTCGTGCTGTAGTAAGCGATAACATTCACACTTCGGAGGATGTCAGTAAAGACGTCAAGGGAATGATGTATCTTTGAACATACCCGCAGAACTGCTGTCCGAACATGACAATCCATGTAGCCCACGTCGCACGCCTGTTTCGCGGCACACTGAACAACTCCCTGAACATGGTAAAGAAGTTCTTGCCTTCGTTGACTTTGGTTTCGAGAGCAACACCGACATGAGTGTAGTAGAGGTCTCGTGCAGCCTGGATGTCGGAGCGACGAAGCTGACGAAAACCGCGAAATGCTTCCTTCATCTTCCCGTGTTGGATCAGCCAACGTGGTGACTCCGGGCAGAAGTAGATCATGGCGCAGACTAGCACGGGAAGGACGACGGTTGACCCTAAGATGAGCCGCCAGGCGAGATCGGGACGAAGGCCACCGAATGCAACGCCCTATGATGAAGTCAGCAAGTCAATCGCCTCCCGTTCGAACCTCCTACCCACCATAACGTTGCCCAACATGATGCCGAATGCAGTCCAGACTTGCCACTGCATGACGAGTGCCCCCCGGATAGGTGCCGGGGCGCACTCAGCAGCGTAGACGGGCACCGTAGAGGATTTGCTTCCGATGCCAAGGCCAAGTACGAAACGAGCAATGAACAAGTTGACCCATGAGTTTGAGACGCCCTCCCAGACGGATGCAACGGCGGCAACAAAGCAGGAGATGAAGATTGTACCTCGTCTCGCGAACAGTCTGTTCAGAGGCTCGGTGAGCCAGCAACCCAGCACAGCGCAGGCCAAGTAGGGTGCGCCGACGATGAGACCCGTCAGGTTTGACTGCATACTGGGCGAGAAGCGGTCGGAGGGGGAAACGTTCAACTCTTTCAAGTAGAAAGCCTGCGCTCCGTTGTTGACCGACTCATCCATTCCCTGCACGGCTGCGGCCAAGGAGGACATGGTGACGAGAAAGTACAACATCCACGGCTGGTCCCATTTGTGCGTGAGCTCGCGGGAGATCTGCGCCTTCTCCTCTGCAGATAGCTCGTCAATGTCTTGGGCAGCGAAAGGTCGGTGCGCTACCAGGGCTCCTTTCTTCATTACCTCAAGATGCTTCATGAGGTCGTATTGCTGGCAGAACTCGGTGACATCTTGCATCAGATCATCTCGGGAGACACCTGCGAGAGGGTTCTCGAAAACAGCGCTGAGCTTCTGGTTGTCCTCTCCCGGTACATCGAATACATCTCGCCGCTCGGATCCGGATGGTGAGCTGGAGTCCTTCTTCTCGTTGAACTCAGCCCCTGATTTAATGTGGACCGCCATTTTGCAATTTCATAAAGATGGTGGAGGAAGATTATTGTGTGCTGTAGAAGGCAAGAATAATGGGGACCAAGACCGCCGAGAATTGAGTCGTTTTATGGCCCTCCGCACTCGCTCGCATCCTGGGCCGGTCTTTCGGTCTAACTTGTGCCGCGGAGGAACGGTTCTCCACGTGGATGGCACATAATCGGTCCTTTCAGCGAAGTGCGGAGAGCGTGGAGAGGATGATCTTTTACTGCGTTGGGAGCAATATCAGGATGGCCAAGCTTTCGTCAGCGGCGCTTGAAGGATCAACGCTTCGCCGCAGGTCTGCAGCTCGCTTGTGTTGGTCCTTGCCGGCAACTGAGAACTTGATGGAGATTAATTCGACAGTATGTGCGACGTCGCTTGGCCAATCACACAGCCTACCTACTAGTCGCGCAGCAAGCCTGAGGACAAAGCGCACTGTTTGTTTGTGTATGGCTTTGTAATTTCTTCACCTTGCTATAGTCAAGCAGTAACCCTTTGTCTGACTATACAAACACTTTGGAGCCGTTTACCAAAAGGATTTCGTACAGTTAGAATGGTTATGCATACTGGTTTGTATATACCTGACTAGGGCTGGGGAACTTCATTCTTCGCCGAAGTACGGACCGCCCTCTTCATACAATCGAAACCCGTATATTTGTCGTTATCAAGATATTGAATCTTCCTTCCCGAATGTAGGGTTTACTTTATAACCACAAACCCAAGACAGGCACGGTCTGTTACAGAGGCTTCTTCTACTATCTCATAACATACTCAATCGAATATAGCTAGTGGGCGTGGAAGAGCAAGTCAATAGAAGACTTCGGATCAAAGATGCTGAGCCGGGCCCGAGCAGGGTCCGAGACGGGCCTGAGACGGGCCTCTTGAAGATTCAACATGCTATATATCAGGAACAAGATATTTAAGCAGTAATCTGGCCCGGGCCGTGCCCGTTCTGGAGCAAACGTGAAATGCAAAGCTTCACGTCGTCCCGAGGTTACCTGCTGACTCAACACGCCCCTGTACATAAACCGAGACACGAGTTGCTCTTTTCTCGTCCTCAACCACCACCTTCGACTCGAGGCCGAGCAACACGGAACAAGCAACAGGTAACACGCAACACGCAACACGCGACAATGACAAACATGGTCGAAGACGTTCTCGAGGCGCCCTCCGACGGCATGTCAAAGCTGCCCGCCGAGCTTCGTGCTCGCGCCTGGCTGGAAGACTCTCCCAACACGGCGTATGGCGACCGCCGCGAGCGGCAGTACGCGCCTCTGCTGATTCGCCCGCGGTCCGGCTCCGCCACTGCGGAGTGGCGCAACGACGAGCAAGCATTCATGTCTAGGGGACTGGGTGTCGATGCCGCCGATGGGTCCGTCCGCCCCGGCTTCGAGCTGACTTCTGTGGACCGCATGGGCTTGGTCGAGCTCCGCCGCGAGGTGGAGCGCCTGCGGGCCCGCAGCGCTGCCGGTGCCTCCTCGCCCGTGGTGGCTTCACCATCCGCCGGTGAGGCGGTTGACCGCAACTCCCTGCGCTCCGCCAACGACGGCTGGCTCCAGCAACTGGAGTCTTCTCCTTCCCGCCGCCGCCAGGCCATTCATCTACCAGGAAGTCATCGTTCCCTTCAGACTCGGCCAAGTACAACTCGAAATGACCGCCTGCAAGGTGGACGGAAGATGCGTCCTCTCCAACAACCCTGCTACCTTGCGCCCCGCCCGTCCAGACGGCTATCACGAGACGTGAATGCTCCGCAAGCAGGCGCTCTGTAGTGTCAGCCCAGTCTGCAAGCTGCTCTACAACGAGTTCTCCGCTGCCGTCCTCAAAACACTGGAACCCGCCGTGAAGGTCCAAACCACTCACCCCTCATGCGCAATCGGATGGAAGCATCTAAGAAGGGGGTCATCCCCATCTCAGCTCTGCGCACAATGGGCACTGCGAGCCTGGAGGCCGTTCCGTTTCACCTCTACTACGAGACTTTCTCCCCGACGGGTCGGTACCGCTACCGGCGTCAGGAGATCGGGGCAACGTGCGACCTCAGAGTGCGATACTCGAGCGACCCAGCAGGATCTCAGCTACAGAAGATTGAACTCCCTCGGGACTCTGCACTCGCTTCCAATAAGCCACTTGCATGCAAGGCGCTCCAGTACTGCGATCAGCGCCTATCCGGCGCAGCGCGAGAGATTGTAGCTGCTGCGAGCTCGAGTCCCGACCTCTGGGACGAGGGGGTTTTGTCTAAGCTGATGGATGCGTTAACGCCGGAGATCCTAGCGGAAGTGGTTCAGACACTGAAGAAGGAGCTCGAGGAGTTAAAGCGCGGTGAGGTCAAGGATGGTGGGGCTCAGAAGTAAAGGTTACGAAGGCGACGGAGTGATCCACTACCGTGCCCCAGCGGACCTGCCCAATTTCTCGCCCTGCAGACGAGTCTCTAGGACGAGTGTGGGCTTGAGGCACAACCGCGCCTACATGCTCTTGAAGCATGCACAATACATGCTGACTCCTTCGACCAAGAAGAGACTGATGACGAATAACCGGAACCACAACACCGCGATAGGGAGGGAATTTTGCCTAACATGGATGCGACCCAAGATGTAGCAAGAGAACCATCGAAGCGAAGCAGGCGCGGTTCGGACGAGCTTCGTATCGGGAGAGTTATCTGTGCTACACCCTCAGATCAGGGCACGGAGCGGACGGTGAGCTATGAAGCAATGGCAAACGGCACGTAGAGGGTATTATCAAGATAGCACAGTGACGGCCCAGATACCCGAATGTGAAACTTCCCCGTGATTTTATCTTCGTGTGACCTCACAACATCACTCCATTGTCGCAAGTCTCTTAAGTCTCGGCGAGAGGTTTCTTCATAAACCCAATTCATGATGCCTCCCAATGTCTATCTTGCTGGAAGAATTCTCACGGCCAGCATGATTACGCCGCCAGTTCCAGTGTTGGTATATTCTAGTGGGACGAAGGATAGCGAGGTGCTAGAACTCAACAACCATACATGGCTTGGGGGCCTCATGCTTCTCCAATTCTTGGAAGATCTATAAGAATTGACCGCCATATTCCCCTATTGCGCCAAGTGCTTGCTGACTTGCCGCATAGCTGAAGAGATCGGCTCTCTCCTTCTCGCCTCCTTGGGAATCCTGACGCTAGCCTCCGAGTCTAATTGTCCGAGAGCCGTGCATCCTGGCACCGTATTTACACTGGGAGACGACCAGAACATCAAAGTCGTAGATGTCGGTAGTCATCGGGTGACTCGCGTCGCGGACTATAGTGGGTTCATGATTATTGTGAAAGGTGAAGATCAAGGTGGTCAGACAGGAAATGCTGCTCAAGGTCAGTACATGGCATACGTGACGGCGGGGTGAGCTACAGGGCAAAGAGGGCCAACGCGTGTCCTACAGAAGCCTAGGCGAGCGATTCGACAGTGGAAGAGCTGTATTCTCCAGAGCCGAGCATAATATTGTGCGTTCATGTACCTCAAAGACTGTCGCGTCAATCGCCGGTTTACGCCTTCATAGCTCAGATTTGCTTGAACCGCGTCGTTATCCGACGAGTCGATCTTTTTTCCCGGTTTCGTCATGCTCTTCGTCCTGCATACTGCCATTTTCTTCCGTTTTCGAGGCTCGAAACTCCAAAAGGTCCTTGTGAGAGCCAGTCCTTCCAGTGTTGATGACTTGATCTCGAGAGCCGCAACATTTCCATAGACCATTCGAGTCGACGATCAATGATAAGTCGGATAGTATCTCCATTCTCCGATTCTTACCGAAGCCTACGCTCAGCATGTATACTTTCCCAATCCCTTGAATTAAGTAACCCAGACTATCGTGCCCTACTCGGCTCCATCGAAAGTGCCATGCAGGTCACTACAAGTCTCATCCACGGACGACGGGATCCCTCGACGCTCAGCTTCTCTCGCCATACTTTCTGCTTCATCTCGCATCGGTCCTCTTCTTCATTAGTCTCGTGATCATGAAAATAGCAGACGTCAGTGCACCATGACGGCACATGGTGTTGTGATTTCTCAATGCCTTCCAGCAGTTGCTTGAGAATCGCGTTAACAGATTTTCCCGGTACGCTCTGGGTTTCGACGTCGTCAATCACAGACATTTCGCTGCCGCTCCAGTGGGTTTCCTCCTCGTCGATCAGATATGAGATCATCCCAGAATCAGCGCGAAGTTCGTTGTATGCCTCGGCGATGAGATGTGGACAGTGGGTGAGTAGCGGTCCATCTGTACATCATTTGTCGATGATGAAGTCCATGTTTCTCATTGCGGAGCTTGGGATCATCTCGGCGGTCCGCAAAACCGAAGACGGATATGCGTCGGGCTTGAAGTTTTCGAATGTCTCGGTCGGCCGACGGTACTCCGGGCAATGCGACTTGCTCTTCTTGGGGCCATAGAGCGTTAAGCATGCTGAGCATCTCGGGGCTACGCTCTTGATGTGATGCAGGGTTTGCTGGACCAGCAAGGTTCGATCGTTGCCTAGTGTTGTCGGGCTTGCCAATTCAATGGTCTTCTTCCACGGCGCCAGCTAACCAGCCGTTCAATGTCTCGGTAGTCTTCTCGGCCATGAATGCAATCTGACGCCGATACAGCCAGTGGACAAACGTAGCAAACTCTAGCACATCCTCTGTACTCAAATCCAGAAACCGCTCTGGCTCTCCGCGGACTGGACTTGTAGCGCTCCTCTGAAGTAAGCAGATACGTGTGCGAGATGCTCATTGTGCACCATGAAGGGTACTTGTTGTCTCCCAATAAGTATTCTTGCGGCTGGTCCGCATAGCAAATCACCATCGAGAGGTCAGAAGACACTATTTCTGACAAATAGAAGAGTGACTGACTATAATTCTTCTACGAAGCTGGCTCCAGGTCATTGTTCCAATATTCGTGGCACTTGTTCTTGGTGATCTCATTAGAGCTGGCAGGTGGCGAATGGCGGTAGGGATGAAAGCGAAAGTGCAAAGGGGCGTAGAAGCGGTATGGCTAGACTTCTTGCTGGACTGCTTGCTCTGGCCTCCCTGCAAACTGTACCTTCTTGCGGACTCTATAATCCGAGCGACATACAGCCCGGAGAACGAGGTAATATTCTTCGGCACCGCCCTCTGCACTCCCACATCCAAGCGATAGACGACTGCTTCGACCAGATAGTTCTGTGGCGCCATTCGTGGGCCGTCGTACGAGACAGTAAGCTCGACGGCATCTCTCGACGTCGTTCGATGGAGTTCTTCGTTCTGCTGCAACAGACAAGACAGTGCAGGAATGTAGAAGTCCCGCAGTCCATGTCGCTTTTCGAAAAGCCAGAGTAGAAATAGATCTTCATCACGCCAGCGAGCAGCATCGCTTTGCAGCCCGTTTACGACCCGCGGATCTGCCCCCGCCTTGGCTGGTCCCTCCGACGCCGTCGATGGGGGGATTGCGTTGGTGTAGAGCCACAAATGAAACATCGCGGAGATCCTCGCACGTTCATGTAGTAACTTGAAAGGCTCTGGCTCCCAATGCCTTTCTGCATCTTCTTTGACCCAGGAGGGTTTGTGCGAACCCACAGCGGCCCGGCGAGATGACGAAGGAGGCTTGCATGAATGGTGAACGGGGTCCTCTCCTCACCCACGATGAAACATTGCACGTCGCCAATGTAGCAGCCCATGGAAATCTCGTCAATGGCATAGAGATATCACCATTGGGGCAATACTCACGAGGGGCTATCCACAAATAAATTCTGCATCCTCAACTGGTAGGAAAGTCTCGTTCTCTTCGAATGGCCGGGATCATCGTGGTCGGCAGAATGCTTTCTTCGTAACGACTCGGTCGCCGGTGAATCAGCGTTGATGTCAGCCATATCTCCTCAACTCTGTGCGGCACTGAATGGATACTGTGAATAGGTGGAGAGTTAAAGTCGAGATAGCGTAGTTCAGTCGTCGGGAAGCCAATGACGGAAGCTGGTCAATAGCAGGCTCTACGCAACTGCCAGCGATGGGAAGTGGCCTTCGAAGTCAAAGGTGAAGGCGGGATAAGAAGCAGTGGAGAGGTGTAGAGGTAGGAAGGGGCCCGTGACGGAGGCGGACCGCTGCGGAGAGTATTGTCAGGGCCCGGGGATCGTGGAGAGTATCCATTTCGCTCCGTCGCGAACCGGATCATTTCCTAGAAGTGCGATTCATCGTATTGATGGCAAGTTCGCAAAGTCAGCAATAGAACTCGACCAGGTGAGGTGAGGTCAAGAAAAGGCCCGGGGACCAGGGTCCGATCTGGCAATACCCGGATTCTTCACCTCGGCACGTGCTCGGCCCGTCCAAAGCC